GCCATGTCCATCCCAGGCCTGGGTCAGATCCCCACCAAGCCCGCCGCGTCGGCGGTGCGCACCTACACGCTGCAGCCACTGTGGGAGTACCGGTTCGAGGTAGCGCACGGCTCGACGGCGACGGTGACGCTGGTCTCGGGCACGGCCGAGCGCGACGGCACCGAGCTGGCCGCAGGCGTGCCCTACCGCCTGTCGGGCGCAAAGTCCAAGCTGCTCTCGTGGCGCGGCGCCACCCTCACCGTCGAGGGGCCCGCCGACGACTACGTGGCCGAGACGGCTACCCCGAACCCGGCCACGGGCGCCGCCGCCGACGACCCAGTCCCGTGCCTCGCCCACCTCAACCTGCATGCCCTGCTGCAGCGCCAGCGCGACGCCGTTGCTTCTAGTAGTGCTGGTACTAGTAGTGGTCAGAAGCAGCAGCAGCAGCAGCAGCAGCAGCAGCACGGTCCCCGCGTCCTCGTCGCCGGGTCCGCGTCGAGCGGCCGCACCAGCCTGGTGCGCACCCTGGCCGCCTGGGCCGCGCGCGCGGGGTCGCAGCCGACCGTGGCGAACGCGGACCCGCGCGAGGGCGTGCTGACGCTGCCGGGGACGCTCTCGGCCGCCGTCTTCGCCACGCCAATGGACCCGGCCAGCGGCGAGGGGTGGGGGTCGGCGCCCAGCAGCGGGCCGGGTGCCGTGCCCGTCAAGCTGCCGCTCGTCTACCACTACGGCCGCCAGCGCGCCGAGGAGGACCCGCCGCTGTACCGCGCCCTCGCCAGCTCGCTGGCCTCGGCCGTCGCGGCGAGGGCCGTGACCGACCCGGACGTGAGGGCCGCGGGGCTGCTGGTCGACTCGCCGCCGTGGGTGGGCGGGGCGGGGGTCGAGACGCTGGCGCACTTGGTGGAGGAGTTTTCTGGTATGTGGTCTTGTTACTATTTGGTTCGAGTTTGCTTCTCTTGTGTTTTGTCAAGAGCTAATCTTTTCCCTTTTCCAGTCAACATCGTCGTCGTGCTCGGCTCGGCGCGCCTGACGCAGGAACTAACACGGCGGTTCGCCACTGAAAAGACCTCCCTCGGCGAGCCCATCAGCGTCGTGTCGCTTGACAAATCGGACGGCGTGGTGGAACGTGACGAAGGGTTCCTGCAGCAGTGCCACGAGGCCGCCATCAAGGAGTACTTCTTTGGCGATGCCGGCCTGACGCTCAGCCCGTCGACGCAGCAGGTATCATTTGACGACGTGCACATATACATGCCCGTCAATGATGGGCCCGCGGGGCCTCCCGTCAAGTCGGCCGAAGACGGGGACTACAAAACGGCGGCGACGGGGACGCTGGAGAAGTTGACGCAGCCGCTGCCCGAGCTGGCGCACTGGACGCTCGCCATGATGAACGCGTCGCCGGGGGACCCGCCCGATAGGATCAGGTCCGCGACCGTCGCCGGCTTCGTCTACGTCGCCGCCGTCGACAAGGAGCGCCGCCGCATGAAGATCCTGGCCCCCGTCAGCGGCAGGCTGGGCGATCGGCCACTCGTCTGGGGCAGGTGGCCAGAGCCGCACATCAACCTTTTGGGATAATATCTCTTGCTCTTTTGCCAATTTTTTTCTCTCTACTTGTGTGGGGTTTCATTTGCTCCGTACGATATGCTTGCAGCACGGCGTTAAAGGCCTCGAAACGAAAGATAGGAAGGAAGGAAAAAGACACACTAAGAAGCTACCAAGTGAATTCCAGAGAAATTCCAAAGAAAAAAAGCACAAGCCCCCTCTCCCCTCCCCTGCCATCTGATATCTCCTGTTATCGTATCCGACATTTGCGCTTCTGCTCCGCGTTTGCCGAATCCAAAAAGCCGTCGTTCCAAGATGAGGCTGACCTGTTGGCTCGACCCCTTGTTCCTTAGTTGGCTTGGCGCCTGTGTTTTGATCACCCCCCCTGGTTCTCTGTTTTGGGTTAGGGTTTCTGGCCTTGTGTGTGTGTGTAAGAGCGCCTAAAATGGGTTGGTGCGTTAGTTTCAATGGTTTGTTCCGCCTGTCCAAGCTTGCCCTTGTGCTACGTGGTTCCAATCTTTTTGGTGCATCCGTCCCGTCGGTTCGCGCTCGGGGGATTTTCTCCTTTGTCTTTCATGGACGCCTCAAAGTCAAATCAATAGCCTTTTTGCGGCCCCCGCATTGTCCCCAATCACCGTCTCGTCCTTTACTTTTGCCTCGGCTCGTTTTGCTCTGGGGATATCCGTTGGATATCAGAAAACAGCTGCATGCACAACAGCAGCAGCACCCAGTTCGTCATCGGGCCAGGTCATTCCTCCTCCACCCTCTCCCTCCCCCCTCGTCCCGTCCGGACCTTGCAGCTTGTCCAACCATGGCTGTCACGGGCCCCCGAACCCATCCTCATTGGTCACGGGGGAGTGATGGGAGAGTCCTTTTGTCCAGTTCTGGGGCTGGCTGGGCCATGTCACAGCGTCGCGCGCGGGGGGTGGGGAGGCGACCTTGGAGGAGGCGGCTTGCTGGGAGCGGTCAGCGGCTGCGGCCTTGTGGGACGCAAGCGCGATCCGGTCGGCACATTAGCGCCCTTGTTGGTGGTATCTTTTCCGCTCTCGTCATTGCTTTCACGGGGGCGTTCCGCCTGCCACCTTTTTTTTTCTTTTCTTTTCCCTCGTAACTATGTGCACCCCTCCCTCTCCCCTGCCCACAGCACAGGGCCAAAGTAAGCTCGCCCGGGGTCGCCGCCTGGACGGGTCGATGCCAGGGGTGTAAAAGGCGACCAGGGGGGGACGACCGGGTTTGTGTTGCTTCGCGCGCGCAAGATGAGTAGAGGGAAAAAAAATACGAGATGGATGATGCAGCAGCAACAACAGGCAAACACAAACATTAAAGGACACGGACGGCTAGCCAAACATGGATGACAAGAAGTTCGAATCATCCCCTCACTTCAGCTCATCTCAAACCTGTGGGCGACTGGTGGGCTTTGTCCAGTCGTTGCCCTTTCCGCGTCCATGCTCTGACGTCGCCAGTGGCCTGACCTTTTTTTTTTTTTTTTTTTTTTTTTGTATCCCGCTGGTCCGCTCGCTTGATGCCAAACCGTGATTTGCCAGCATTCAATGTCAGGCAGCCATGTCCAGCTGGCCTGCAACGCTTGCTTTTTGAGCCGAGCCCAGCCCTAAGAAAAAAAACAATGGGCTTGTTTGCACAATTGTGCTCTTTCTCTTTCTGATGCCCGTGGTATTTTTTCGCTTCCTTCTCCCTTTCTGATCTGCCGGATCCCACCTACCGTGGCCCGTCGTCACCCCCCGTCCTCCTCTCTCCTTCACCTAGGTGGGAACGCGCCCTCCCTCTTCTCGCTCGCTCCCTCCTCTCGCTCGCTCCCTCTTCTCGCTCGCTCCCGCCCGCCCGTCCCTCCTCCCCTTTCCTTTGGGTGTCTCTCGGCCCCTCGGCTCTTCCCCCGCGTGTCATCGCTGGGATCTGAATAGACGAAGCGGGTCTTGCGATTGGCTTGGTGAGGCGTCGCCGCCACCCACCTCGGAAATTTGTTTGGGTTTCCCGCCCATCCACATCTCTGCTACTAGGGAGCCGGGGTCTATTTGGCAGACCCTTGTCGGTGAGTGCCGTTCGCTTGCGTGGGTTGGTGCCTGGTCGCGCGCCTTTGCCAAACCGCCTGGTCCCTCCCTCCCCCCCCCCGCCCCTGTGGCTTGGTTTGGCTGGGCCGCCGCCGACCACTTTCTCGTCACGCCCGTCCCGCTCAATAGATCGCTAGGTCAGGGGTGGGCGTGTGGCACCAAGCAAGGCAAAGGCGGCCTGGACCTTGCAAACACATATCACCTGCTCGCATTAGTCCTAACGTCCCAAGAGAGCTTCTCATCCTGCTTGTCCGGACCCGGTTGGCTCTTTCCCCGTTTATTCCTCGCCACCGCCAGACGCGATCCATGACGACCATGAATTGTTGTCTGGTCTCCCATCATCCCACCTGACGACGACGACCACCACCACTTCTCCGCGAAACACACAACGTTGAGAGAGATTCCAACTAGTACCCTCCAGCGCCCTCTAAAAACCCAGGGCGCACAGGCTGGTCTGTCAGCGAGTAACCGAAAAGCTGCGCGGCCTGCCTGCGTCGTTGATGCATCTGCACGTCCCCTCGCCCGAACCTTGCCCGGGCCATCGAGCATGGACGACCACTCGGCCGGGGGCGGCGTCAACCCCGGGGCCGCGAGCATACCGACGGCGCAGGAGCCCAGCTCGGGGCACTTTGCCCGGAACGGCAACGACCTCCTCGTCGTTAAACTGCTGTCTCTCTGCATCGGCGCCGTCAGCCTCGCCGCGACCATAGTCACGTCTTATTTCTTCCTTCGGATGCGGAGATCCTTCCGTCACGAGTGCGTCTTGTCCCTCTTGCTGCTTTTAAGTGAGAGTAAAATGGCCTTACCTAACAGCTTCCCCCGCCAGCCTCGTCGTCCTCCTGCTCTCGGGCGACTTTATCAAGGGCATCTGCTTCGTGGCATACCCCATAGCATCCCTCGCGTCGGCCGGCGGGCCCGGCGCACCCATCCCCGCAGACTCGGTCTTTTGCCAGCTCAACGGCTTCATACTGACGGTGGGCACAGAGGCCTCGGACGTGGCCGTGCTCCTGATCGCGCTGCACACGGTCCTGTACATCGTCCGCCCGCTACCCCGCCGGCGCGGCGGCGGTCGCGGCCTGTACCCCTTCAGGCGCTGGGCCGTGGCGACGTGGATCCTGTACCCGCTCATCAATGCCTCGGTCGCCTTTGCTGGCGGCGGCGGGGCCCCGTATGAGGATACGGGCGAGTTTTGCTACCTGACGGTGCGCGAGAAGTGGTATCGCTCGTATCTGGCCTGGATCCCGCGCTACGTCATCTTCTGCCTGATCGTCGCTCTGTACCTAGGGCTGTTCTTCTTTGTGCGCGTCTCTCATTGGAGATACGACCGTGAGCGCGAGAAGGCGTGGCAGCAGGACGTCACCGCTGCCGGATCCGTGCCCCCAACGCCCCCGATCGAACGACATGGCCTGATCCCCGAAGACGAAACGCCCAGGACTCTGAGCCGCGGCGCAACCATTGACGATGATGCGCCATGGGCCAAGAGCCGACAGGACTCGGGGGTCCCCCTTATAAAACAGGCTGTGGTTCCCATGTCCTCCGAGAAGGGCGCCGGCGTAAAATCGCCGAGGGCGTCCATATCCTCGACGGAGCTGGAACCTCATCGACACATTGAGGGCAGGCGAGTATCTTTTACAAGGCCAATCTCGGGAAGAGACGCCGATAGTGGGACACCTGGTAGTCCCAGTGGCGGAGCCGCCGACTTGGGGAAGTGGAGGGACCGAAGCCCTTCACGGCGTGTTGAGTGGAACTGGGGAGCTACAGTAGCCGCAGGGAGCAGTGGGGGAAGAGCGAGCGTCGCCGGGCCATCATTCCCGTCGAGAAACGACCGATTGTCGGAACCGTTATCCCTCAGCACAGGAGAGCCACTCAGCCCGCTGGCTACCGAGACTTTGGCCTTCATCGATCCCATGCCGCCCCCGCCCTCGCAACCGCGGACACCCCTGGACAGCGCGGGACCCTCACCCAGAGCCTCGGTAGATCAGCAAACCAGACAGCAACAGCAAGGGTTGTGGAGACGGATCGAAGCGCAGAACCGCCCGTCAGTGCCCATCACAGCTCCCCCGCTTTCCAGGCTGGCGGAGACCTCGAGCCATAAGGATCTCATCGCCGTGCTGCGCGCCGGGCCGCCACGCCGGCAGACCGACATCTTGCGCTCGTACTCGATCACCTCGACAAATACTGCGGGTGAACGGCGGCCGTCAACCGCGTCAGTGGCGGCAGAAGGCCGCAACGCGACGGCCTCGACGACCAGAGCGCCCCTCTTCCATTCCGGCCTCGGTGTCTTCCCCAGCCGCAGGCGGGAACATGCCCCGGGCTCCGTCAGCCGCGACGGATCCGAGACGACCGCCGCTAGGCCTGCGATCGACGACGGGGCGGCCGGCGTGACGGCGACGAGGCGCATGGGCCAGTCGCGGGTGCGTAAGCGGCTGAGGTTGCTGTGCGTGTACCCGTTGCTGTACGTGGCCATGTGGCTGGTGCCCTTTGTGAGCCATGTGCTGTGCTACGACGGCGAGTCGGAGCTGCACGACGCGAGCGAGCCGCTGTGGGTTCTAGCCCTTAGCATCGCCAGCCTAGCCGCCCAGGGCGCCATCAACGCCGCACTCTTCTCGTGGCGTGAGCGGCCCTGGCGCCATCGCGACCCCCGTACCCTCTGGGCCCGTCTATGTGGCCGCGCCGCCACCGACTGGGACAGGGCGCGGTGCCGGTGCGCCTCGTGGGCGCGCTGGGTCTTGGCGACATGCTCTTGTGGCTGCAGGGGCAGGTCGAAGGGACCGGAAGGCTTGGAAGCTGGCTTTGACAAGGGTGCTGTTGGCGGAGCAGTCGGGGTCGTGCTTGGGATACATACGCGCGGCGCCCCGGCGGGCTCCGGCCGAACGAGGCCAGAGATGGCGGATGACGGGCGCCTCGCGCATCAGCGCAGACAGGAAGAAATGCGACAAGAAGTCGAGGGAGCGGCCGAGAGGGCGCGGCGGCGAGGGCCGAGGTACTGGTGGGACGTGGAAGCAGATCCAAACGACCTGACCAGCGACGAGGACTTTGTGGACGATCATCCAGGGGCTGGAAGCAGAGAACTTTCCGTGCGTGAGGCCAGTGAGGCTAGGCCCCCTGAAGTGTAAAGGAACCTTGTCTTTTTCTTTGTCCTTTTGTGTTCTCATGTCGTACATGATCATCTTGGGTCTCTATGGGATTTCTGCAGGTCCATGACAGCGATCTAGCAGCAGGCGTCTGGTGTCTCTTGCTTTTCGGGGAAGGTGTTGGATGGAGTTCCGCATTGTCAAGTACTATATACCCCTTTGTGAACTGGGTCAGCGTGCATGGTTGGGGTCGTTGGGATATGAGCTGGAGCTGGGCTTACTATTCTGTTCTACAGGATGCGGTGCATTAGCCATCGGTGTGAGGAGAGGACAGTTGATTGGTGTAATCAAGTACCTGTTCTACGCAAAGTCTGGTATCAAATGCAAAAATGATGAGCCCTGAGTTCCAAAACTTCTCTGCTCACGACCTGATGAAGCGTAGAAAGGCATTGGCAATAGCGACACCGTCATGCTCGTTGGCGACGCGGCTAATGCCGCTCTTGTACAGGTCGTCCGAGTGGATACCGGCATCATGGCGCAGCTCGAGGATCTCGCGCACGATACCCTCTGTGAACTCGGGGTGGCCCTGAACGGTGACGGCGCGGCCGGGCCATAGGAAGCCCTGCTGGGAGCAGACCCCGTTGGAGGCCAGCGCAACTGGTGGCGGGGCGCTGGGGTCCGCCTTGCCGTCTGGCAGGTCCTTGGCGATGTCGCGGTGCATTTGGTGAATTTTCTGAAGCGGGGGTTTGTTAGTCGAGTGGGGGGAGACAAAATAAGGGGCAAAACAAGGGGGCGCGTACCAGAGTCTCGAGCCCGAAAAACTCCTTGCCCGCGCTGCTTAGCTCTAGCTCCGTCACGGCAACCTCCCAGCCCTTTTCGTTAACAATAACGGGAGTCTGCATAGCCCTGGCCACGATCTGGTGGCCGAAGCAGACGCCGATGACCTTGACGCGGCCCTGAGTGGCGAGAGCCTCGCGTACAAAGGCGACGAGGGCCATGATCCAGGCGTCATCTCCAAAGGCGCTGTGCTTGGAGCCCGTGATGAGGACGGCGTCTACGTCGGCTAGGGCGGGATACGAGCCCACGTGGTTGACCACGTCGTGGTACGTCAGAGTCAGCACCTCGGCCACGGGCTGCGGGGCCGTGGCGGCAGTGAAGAGTGAGGTGAAGACGCCGCCGTAGTCCTTGTACTTGGCCACGGTGCCCGGTAGGGGCGTGTCGGCCATGAGGATGGCGAGGCGGGTGGGGGGTTGAGAGCCCATGTTGGTTGGGTAGGGGGTGTGATGATTTGGGTTGGAGAAGGGTGGGTTGGATGAACAGGAGATATTGATGTGTTCTGGCCTCGGCTGGCCTGGCCTGGCCTCTCTGTATCGAATCCCGCCCCGTCCAGCCTTTGTAGCCCAGATGATGAGATGCCGCACGAGTCAGACCAACGAGCTGCAGGCGCTCTTGTAATGCCGAAATCGGTCAGACTGGCGGGACCTGCAGCTCAACCGCCGTCCCACTCTTGGAGCTACCCCTCTTTCATGCCCACAACAGCAGCTCCGACTATTGTGTATCTAAGTCCCCACACCTCTGAGGCTCTCATCCCATTTCTGCAAGACATGGAAGATTGCCTTTATTCGGCACTCATCATCCCACAATGGCCTCGTCCCCTCATCCCCGCTCTATCGCCAAGTTCCTGGCCACGGCGCGGAAGACCCTGGCTGCTCCTCGAAGTCAGCGACCGAGCCCGCTATGCCTGGTCGTTGGCAATGAGGCGGCAGGTGTGTACACAGTACCTTGGCTTTTCCCAGACCAAGCCCAGCCAAAGCTAGAACAGGAATCAGGAACCCAGAGCAGGCTGCTAACCACGCCCAGACCTCGACTCCTTCTGCTCCGCCTTCCTCTACGCCTACCTGCGCTCACACACCCCGCCGCACTTTACCCTGCACATCCCGCTCGTAAACCTCCCCCGCCCCGACCTGGCTCTGCGCAACGATGTCGACGGCGCCTTTGCCACCGCAGCCGTCTCTCGCGACAACCTGCTCTCGCTGTCTGACCTGCCGATGTCGGAAAACGACAAGAAAGTCGGGTCGGGCCTGGACCCGCATGACACGCGGTGGATTCTCGTCGACCACAACGAGCTGACAGGCCCTCTTGCCGCCCGCTTTGCCAACCGCGTCGTCGGCTGTGTCGACCACCACGTCGACGAGTGCGTTGTGCCTGCCGATACGGGATCCGAGCCGCGACTTATCCGCGTCTGCGGCAGCGCTGCCACTCTCGTCGTCGAGCACTGCCGCGAGACGTGGGACTACATTGCCACCCACTGGATCGGCCCCGAGGGCGAGGACAAGAAGGTGACAGACGACCGACCTGGCCTGCCGTCGCAGCTGGCCCGGCTAGTCCTGGGGCCCATCCTGGTCGACACCCAGGCGCTCAAGGCCCGCTCCAAGGTGACACCCGCAGACGAGGAGATTGCCGCGCTTACCGAGGCCCAGATTCGGTCTGACCAGGGGGGCGAGGCATACGACCGTATTGCGTGGTATGAGGAGTTGTGTCAGCTTAAGGAGGACCTTACCGGTTTCAGCTACCGGGACGCGCTGAGGAAGGACTACAAGGAGTGGGCGGCGCCATCCCCCATTGATGACAATCCTGACGGAGCTGGTGTCATCCGGCTCGGCATATCGACGATCCCCAAGCCCTTCGATTACCTGCTAGAGAATGTCGGCCCGGTAGAGACCCTGGTCGAGGAGACGCGCGGCTGGGCGCGGGAGCGAGGGCTAGATCTCGTAGGCATCATGACGGTCCGGCCCGAAGCCAACCACCAGATCAGCCGCGAACTGATGGTGTGGGCCTTCAACGAGCGCGCCGTCGCCGTGGCCCGCTCCTTTGCCGCGGGTTGGGGCGAGGACCTGCAGCTCGAGAGGTGGGGGCAAGGCGAGCTTGACAGCGCTGCTTCGGCTTCTACCCTTGGCAGTAATGCCGCAGATGATACTCGGGCCTCCGAGTGGAGGATGTGCTGGCATCAAAAGAACCACGAGCACAGCCGCAAGCAGGTCGCGCCAATGCTGAGGGAGGCTATGAAACAAGCGCCCCCGAGATTATAAGACGATGCCAGGCACATCTGGAGGTGACGTGCCCAAATGAAGGACGCGTGAACTTGGGCAGTATTTCCCGGAAACGCCCGGTTTGTCCATGGGTAAACTGGATGGGAGTGCTTCCCTTTACACTGTTTGGGACAGGAGCCCAGGAGCCCATCAACCGCAGGATAAATATGGTCTGCCAGGCTAGCCCTTCAGTATATCCTTCCTCCATCACTAGTCATATAACGGGGCGCTACTAGGTACTTCCAGGGACGGGCAAGATAAACGCAAGCACAGAGGAAAGGGTTTCTCGAATAGTCAATTATAATCGCTTACTCGATCTCTTGATAATCGAGCCAGCCCTACCGCCTACATGTCCCGTCATGGATAAGGTTGGATGGCGTCCATGACAGCAAAAACACGGCTGCTCTCGACTCGACACCCGCCACCCTCAGCGGCGGCGCGCCTGTATCCAGGCCGCAGGAAGCCGCCGAAAGCTTCCAGGTCGTGCCTGTCATAGTTCTGCCCCGCCAGGATCTCGAGGGCCCGCGCGCAGGGGATGGTTGACTCCCCGGGCCCCGCGGGCGGGAACGCCAGGGAGTCGTCGTCGGGCTGCTCCAGCAGGCCTGGGCAGCTGTCGGCGCCCGTCCCTCCAGGGGGTGACCCCGTGGGAGGGCGGCTGGGGGCGGCAGCTACCGCGAGGGACCCTTGCGCCGCACGCCGCCTCGCAGGCTTGGCGTCCGCGACCTCGTCCACGCCCACGCCCGCATCTCCGCGGACGGGCCTGTCACCGTCCCCCCGGCCGTCTCCCTCGTCGGCCGCGACGGCCGGCTTATTGTGCTGTAGGCGCTGTATCTCCATCGCCAGCGCGGCGTTGCGCGCCAGGGCCTCGTCGAGCTGCGCCGTGGCCTCGGCAAGCCGCCTCTCCAGGTCCGCGACGTGTGCTTTTGTCCTGGCGCGGTGGCGGCGCTGGTTCTCGCGCACGCGAGCGGCGTCCTGCTCCTTTGGCCGCGACGACCATTTCTGCGTCATCTGCGAGAGCTCCGTATCCATGACTTGTCTTGGTCTTTTCTTGGGGGGGTTTTTTTTTTCCTTGGCGAAATCGGTTGAAGAAGTGCATGGACGGTTCGCTCGGGGGACAGAATCCCGTCGCCTGTTTTTTTGTGTCGGCCCTCCCCAGCCTATCACAGGAGTAGAGTGACCAACCTGCCCGCTTGGGAAATGGGCCGTTCCCCCCAGCCTATCAGGTTAGGACGAGTGATGGCCAGGCTTTGAGCTTTGGTTTTGCTGCAGTGCGTCCATGGCTCAGGCCTATCAGATGCCTCGAGTGACCTGGCTTGCAGGTGCCGTCCCCTCAAAACAGACGCTGCGTGAACGCTAACCGGATTAGGCAAATTGGCAGTGACATACCAGAAACCCGCCCTTTTTTCGTTAGTCCATGTCCGCGCGGGCAAATGCCCTCAAAACAGACGCTGCGTGGGCGCTAACCGGATTAGGCAAATTGGCAGTGACATACTCGTTGCGTCCATGTCCGCGCGGGCAGATTCCAGGCGGGCCACATAGAGGGCTCATGTATATATATGTAGCGTCCTCACCTCGTATCGGGAAGGGTAGGAGGCTGCCCTGCTCAGCTGCCGTCGGAAGTATAGCCATATACAGAAACCAACCTCTTTTCATCCAACTCCCAAGTCGAAACCAAAGTGCCCGCCTCCCAACATCGATCGGCCAAAAATGGACGCCAACGAGATCTATACCGTCGTCAAGGAGCGGTACAGCGCCGCGTCGACGGACCCGAGCCAGCTCAGCGAGGGGTACGGGCGGGCCGTGGCCCGGGCCTTTGGCTACTCGGAGCAGGAGCTGGCGGGCATCCCGGCCGAGTCCAACCTCGGGCTCAGCTGCGGGAACCCACTGGCCATTGCGAGTTTGCGAGAGGTAGGTGGGGGGTGTGTTGAAAGAGGGAGAAAAAAAAAGGTGGTGAAGAAGGTCGTTGTTATTAATCCTGTTGCGTTGATTAGGGCGAAACCGTCGTGGACCTCGGGAGTGGCGCCGGCTTCGACGTCTTCCTGGCCGCCCAGAAGGTCGGCCCGACCGGACGGGCCATCGGCATCGAGATGAACAAGGTACGCTGCCTTTCTTTCTTCTTTTACTCTCTCTCTCCCAATCCCGCTACATCGTCTCACTCACTCACTCACTCACACCCTCCCAGGACATGCTCTCCCTGGCCGAGCGCAACAAGGCCAAGTCGGCCGACAAGGCCGGCGGCCGCGCCGAGTTCGTCGAGGGCCGCATCACGCGCGTGCCGCTGCCCGACGCCGTGGCCGACGCCGTCGTGTCCAACTGCGTCGTCAACCTGGTGCCCGATCCCGAGAAGCACCTGGTGTTCGCGGAGATGGCCCGCCTGCTCCGCCCCGGGGGCCGCGTCGCCATCTCGGACATACTGGCCCGCCGCCCCTTGCCCGACGCCATACGCCGCAGCGCCGCCCTGATGGTCGGCTGCGTCGCGGGCGCCAGCCTGGTCGAAACGTACGAGGAGCATCTGAAGGGGGCTGGGTTTGTTGGTGAGCAACTTTGCTGTTTTTGTTTCTCTTCCCTCTCTTCCCTCTCTTGCTAACCTCCCGCCAACCTCACCCCTCAGACATCCTGATCCAGGATACGCACTCGGACCTCAACGTCTACGCCGACACGCTCCCGGACGGCACCAAGCGTACCGACCAGGCGGCCGCCGGGTCGGGCCAGGGCTGCTGCGCGCCCTCCCTCGCGCCCTCGTGCTGTGCCCAGCCGGCAGGACAGACTGCCGGCAATGGCTCGTGCGCGCCGGGCCCGCCCGCGCCCTCCAAGGACCTCAACCTCGAGGCCCTCACTGCGGAGCTGGGTAGCATTGATCTGAATGAGTGGGTTGGTAAGTCAAAGTCCCGAGTTGGATATCCATAAGGCTAGAGTGGCTTGCGGTTGCTGATTTGCTCGTTAAAGGATCGTACAAAATCTACGCTGTCAAAGCGTAAGTCATGTTCATCAAGTTGTCAGTGTTGCTATTTGACGGGAGCCATGTCAAACGGGACAGGAATGCGGCGGGACCCAGGTTGAAAGAGATAACAGGGCGCTAGATCGGGGACTTGGCCATTCGCGTTAATGGTATACTTGTAATGGTAACCGAGTAGGCGTTGACGGCTGGTCATAACCGCACAATCCGCCCTGGTTCGGTGATGCTACGGGTGATTTAATATGCATCATTGGAACATCTGAAATTATGTAGCTCGATATAAGCTATTTATCCAGGTATAGTAGCATCAAAGATGCACAAAGTAGTGTGTAGTGTGCCAAAAGAACGAAATACGTGGGTATAAGGTGGTTAAAGATCGCCGCTGATGGCTACCCCCCTTCATCAGTCTCCTCATGGATATCATGGAACCAAAAAGAAGAAAAAAAAGACCTCGGAATAAAAAGAAAAACCCTCATCAGGATTCACCACATGGACAAATCCGTACTCGCACCGCACAAACACCTTCACGCTCAAGCCTTGACGTCGCGGGCAGGGGCGTCGGCGGCGGCGGCAGCAGAGCGCTCGCGGTGGCGCTCCTCGTCCTTGTAGAAGGAGCGGAGGGTGGCGCCCTTCTGGAAGAGCACGTAGCGCTTGAAGCTGTAGGGCAGGACCTCGCAGACGTTGTAGCGGATGTACTTTGAGGTCGGGGCGCCAAAGACGTAGTCGAGCTCCTCGAGCGTGCGGCGCTTGGTCTCGGGCACCCAGAGGAAGATCATGATGAAGGCGGCGACGTTGAGGCCGGCGTACATGCCGAAGGCGCCGACGACCTTTGCGTCGCGCAGCAGCCACGGGAAGGTCATGGACAGCACGGCGGCCCAGAAGAGGCAGGTGGCGACGGCGAAGCCCATGCCGACCTCGCGGTGCGACAGCGGGAAGACCTCGGCACTGTAGGTGAATGGCACGGGGCCCTCGCCGGGCGAGTAGAAGGCGCCGAAGAGGTAGACGAAGAGGGCGACGAGGGCCGTGCGGGCCGTGCTCTGCGGCATGAGCGTGCAGAGGCCGCCGGCGAGGAGGGTCCAGGTCATCTGGGGGAAGGTGAAGAGGAGGAGGGAACGGCGGCCGAACTGTGTGGAGGATGGGTTGTCAGTAAGTGTATTCATTCTTCTGTGCTCTTTCTTGCACTCGGGTTTCGAAAAAAAAAAAAAGAAAAAAAACAATACTGTGTCAATGGTCCAAAAGGCCGGGAAGGCAAACAGCCAGTTGACCAGGCCAAACCCGAGTGAGGCGAGCAGGGCCTCGAACTCGGAGGAGCCCGCATCCTTGAAAACCGAGGTCGAGTAGAAGGCGATGATGTTGATGCCGCACATCTGCTGGGCCAGCATGACGGTGAAGGCGGCCAGGGTGGCGCGGCGGACGCGGGGGATGGTGAAGAGCTCGACGAAGCGGGTGAGGTAGCCGCTGTCGCCGACGACCTGGTGCTCGAGCACGAGCTGGGAGTGGATGTAGTACATGTCGCGGGCGCACTGGACCTGGTTGAAGCGCAGGCGGTTGATGGCGTTCCAGGCGTCGACGTAGCGGTCCTTCTTCATCAGCCAGCGGGGCGACTCGGGGCAAAAGAAGATGAGGGTGACGAGCGGCACGGCGGGGATGAAGGGGGCGGCCAGCATCAGGTGCCAGTTGTAGACGTGGTTGTAGACGGCCACGTTGATGGCGGTGCCCAGGAAGATGCCAAAGGCTGTCCACATCTGCCACGACATGACGAGGGCGCCGCGGATGGAGGCGGGCGAGTTCTCGGCGGCGTAGATGGGCACGGTGGCGCCCTTGAGGCCCATGCCTAGGCCCATGAGGATGCGGCAGGCGAACTGGTCCTGCCAGCGGAAGCAGAAGCCGGAGCCGATGACGGGCCAGAGGCAGAAGTGGGCCGAGATGAAGATGGTGCCGCGGCGGCCGAACCAGTTGTTGAAGGGGTCTGACAGCCAGCAGCCGACGAGGGCCGAGGCGAAGTAGGGGGCCGCGTTGACGAGGCCCAGGATCAGCTCGCTCCGATCCGAGCCGTCGTTGAGTCCGTAGGCGACCTTCATGAAGGGGTTGGCGCCGTTGATGCCCGTCTGGTCCCAGCCCTGCACGGCGGCGCCGATGGAGCAGGTGAAGATGGTGAGGAAGAGACGCCAGGGGAGGCGCCACTTGTGCTCAACCTCGTTGCGCAGCACCGTCGCCTCGTCCGTGTTGAGGGCGTGCTCGCCGGGCAGGCTGTCGTAGCTGGCGGGGTCCTGGGCCACGAGGGCGCCCTTCTTGAAGACGGCCACGTGCTCTGACAGGCCCTTTTGCTCGCAAAAGGCCTCGACGTCGCGCATTAGCTGCTCGAGCGGGATGCCGGCGAGCGGGTTCGTGATGCGGGCCTCGGCATTGTTGTTGAGCGCCTCGAGGTCGACGCCGGCGCCAGTGCCCGTCTCGACATGCTGCTTGCCCGGGCCATGGCTGTCGACGCGGACGCCCTTTTCTGAGGCGCCGCTAGACCCGTCACTGTTGTTTCGGCTTGGTTAGCACGGAGTTGGGGTTGGACAGGACGGCAGTGAACAGGACGGCAGTGGACCGCCAATGCATGTCAGGCCCAATCGGCCACGGCTAGCGTCTTGTCGGGGCTAGGCTCGCCGCTCCAGGCAATGAGCGGCGCTCGTGCCTGTTCTCGCCGGCATTGTCGCGGTCGTCGTCATTGCCAATACTTTGGCGCACTCAAGCATTTCTCAAGCATCAGGACCAGGCAAAAAGAAAAAGACTTACGGGTGTGGCTGGATTGTCTCCTTGTCCGCCATAGCCAAGGCCACTTGAGCCTAGAGGCACACCACTTTTTTTCTTGCTTGTTCGATCAAGCCCGTCAATCAGGTACAGGGCCTCAACCGCTGTCTTCCGTCGAGCCCGAGCGAATGGTTGGGACAGAAAGAGGGAGCGTCTCGCTGATACCAAGGTGCGAGCGCGGCGAGCTCCCGTATTTGTACTCTGCTCTCCCCGGCCAGACTGGCTGTACGGGTAGGTACCTAGGGGGTTAGGACCAGGCCGGCCGGGGGGTTGACAGTGCCATGGGGGGAGAGTCCCTCGGGGAAGCGTGGGGAAGGCTCCTCGACTGCCTCCAACCAGCGGCGCGGAGGCTACCCCGACCCTGCTTTTCTCGCACGAACGCGCCGTGCCCATCAGTTCTGCAGGCCAAGCCGGGGATCCCAGCACAATCGTCGTGCTCTCGGGCTTATTATCGCACATCACTTCCTGCTCGATGCGCCGTCGTCCTGATGGAAAGTGGGAAGACTCCCCACCGCCCCCACCTCTGTAGACACTGTGTGAGACCAAGACCAAGTCAGTTAGTCAGCCAGTCTTTTTTCTTTCCTTTTTTTCCCTTTTTTTCTTTTTTTCTTTTCTTCCCGCTGCGCAGTATTCTTGTCAGATGAGAACAGTAAGTAAACCTAAATTACCTCCTCCGCAGAGTGTAGGCTTTGTTTTTGTATGATGCGGCCTGTCGCGTCCACCTGGTATTCAGCAAATGTCGTCACGGTGGCACCGGCAGTGCTCCGGCATAGATAAAACTCCCGTCGGCTCAACCACTGGCTAGCGCTCGCTTCCCACCAGAAGTGCGAGGGCGGCTTGGTCCCGGCAATAATTCCCCGCACGCGTCTGCTCCTCAACCCCAGTCCAGGGTGGGCCCTGCCCCGCCGATCGATGATTTCTTAGAAATTGGAGTGATTGGGCAAGCACCAACCTCCAAAAAAAATCCGCACACGCTATATTTTTCCCCACCCAAACTCTATAGAAAAAAAACATCAAGAGAAAATCAATTCAATTGATTGCAATGCCTCGTTATCATAACACACGCCTCGGATCCTTTTAAAAACTACAAAGGGCGAAGGGAAAATGATTGCCCATTAAATTCCGTATAAAAAAATAGGCATTGGCTATTATTTGGTGCGAGTAAATTGAC